GTCTGAATAGGCAGTATTCATAAAACAGTATTTAAAGGAATAGTTTTCAAAATTATTCACCCTCAGGCCTTTCAAGATGTAAATGAGTTTGTTTCTTCATCACAACAGATTTGAAGAAATTTAGCATTACGTGAACAATGAACACAGAAAAAACAAGTCCAAAATGGAAACAAGTCACAACACAACGAAAACAAGCTGCAACAAAATGTAATTAGCACAAAACAATGGAAACAAGTCGCAACACAACAAAATAACCGCAACACAGAAACAAGTCGCAACACAAAGAAATTAGCACAACACAACGGAAACAAGTCGCAACACAATGGTAACAAGTTGCACAACACAACAAAATTAGCACAACACAACGGAACAAGCCGCAACACAACGAAAACAAGTCACAACAACGAAATTATCACAACACAACAGAAACAAGTCACAACACAAGGGAACAAGCCGCAACACAGTGAAAACAAGTCACAACACAACAAAATTAGCACAACACAATTGAAAGAAGTCAGCACAATGAAATTGAAATTGAAACAAGCCACAACACGACGGAAACAAGCCGTTACACATTGGAGACAAGTAACAAGCCACAACACAACGAAATTAGCACAACACAATGGAAACAAGCCACAACACAACGAAATTAGCACAACACAACGGAAACAAGCCACAAAACAAACAAATTAGCACAACAAAAAGGAAACAAGCCACAACACAATGAAATTAACACAACGAAATTAACACAACGGAAACAAGTCGCAACACAATGAAATTAGCACGACACAACAGAAACAAGCCACAACACAACGGAAACAAGTCACAACACAACGAAATTAGCACAACACAACGGAAACATGCCACAACACAACGAAATTAGCACAACACAAAGGAAACAAGCCACAACACAACAAAATTAGCACAACACAACGGAAACAAGCCACAACACAACAAAATTAGCACAACACAACAGAAACAAGCCACAACACAGCGAAAATAGCACAACAGAATGAAATTTGTCCTATTCATTGTGTTGTTGAGATTTCATTGTGTTGTGCACTACTTGGTCACTGCAGAGAAGACAACAGAGGCTTTTCTTTTTCACCAGAGGAAGCATTATTATTGATAATGGACACAAGACATTAATTGATGTTAACTGTTAAAATCTGTTTTGATGAGCAAACAAACTTATCTACATTTTGGATGGCTGGAAAATTTTCATTTTTGGGTGAACTATTAAAATATTATTTATCTCTTGGTTTAGATAAACAATATAATCTACAAAAAAGCTCTCTAATTATTAGAGCTATGGCATTTTGGTGATGTTGATCCATAGTGCTCACTGCTCACATGGATGATACAGGTTTGAGTCTGACTGTCACTTGTTCCCATTATGCCTCATTTTCCCTGGACTAAATCTGATCAATAAATCAAAACCTCAAAAATAACATTGAAGAGTTCTAATCAAACAGGAAGTCATGCTTGCAAGAGGATCACAATATTACATGTTCATCTGCTCATTAGATGAGGTAGTGTGTTGCCCTACTGGGCCCGCTATCTGCCCCCTGTGTTGTAATCCCCTTCTTAATCTGTCCATTATGGAGCAGTGAAACTGTGCATGTCAACAGGGCCTGGGTCCCAGGGCTCTAGATCAATAAAATCATACACAGGGGGTGGTTCCGCAAGCTCTGTGGGCCTTGTGTCAGGGAGGAGACGTCGATACTGTCGATTGGGTATTAAAGAGCACTCTGTCAGCTGGCGGTCACAGGGGGCCCCAGCACACAAGGCCCCGGGGAGGTGCTGGGTAACCTCCAGTGTGTATTAATACTGGGACCCTTCCCAGCTTGACACACCATCCCTCCTGAATATCGACAGGTAAGGTGACAAAGAACCTGCTGGCTGCAGCAGAGACGCAGTGCTAAAGGAAAATTAGAAAAGGAGACACATAGTGAGAGAGAGGGAGATTTCCTACACCAAAGTTTACTTCTATATATATGATATAAATATGAAATTATAATATAAGACTGTATTTTGCCTGTCCTTTCTGTCTATAATAGACTTGCCTTTGCACAACAGTTCAACTGGGTTGTCCGATTGTCTCTAAGCCATACATCCATAACATATCATGGGCTTCTTTTACTGAAGTATTCTGGACATTTCAATTCTGGACATCAGGCAATAATCTGTGCATTAATATAACAACAACAACAACAATAATAATAATAATAATAATAATAATTCATTGTTATTACTATTATTATTATTGTTGTTGTTGTTTAAATTACACTTGGTCTTACAGGCATTATTACCAAACAATTCAGACTATAACAATTATTTAAAATTACTATATTGTTATATTATTATAAAATAATATATTGTTATATTATTATAATATAATATAATAATTATTAGTTTTGTTGTTTAAATGAATAAACTTGGTCTTATAGGCATTAATACCAAAATAAATTTGACTCAATAAATTTTTTTAAAATAAATTAAAATTAAATTAAAATAAAAGTTGCATTAGTTTGCATGCAAAATTAATAGTGTATAAAGTGTTTGCATTAAATTAAATAGAGGACATTATGATGACATGGACAGAAAACTCAAAACCAAATTTAAGATCAAAACCAACTTTCTAAATAATATGTCTCTGCTTATAGTTATAGTTATAGTTATAATCAACTTATTTTTTCCTTAAAATGATAAATTTTCTCAGTTTAAACATTTGATATGTCATCTATGTTGTATTCTGAATAAAATATTGAAATTTGAAACTTCCACATCATTGCATTCTGTTTTTATTCACAATTTGTACAGTGTCCCAACTTTTTTGGAATCGGGTTTGTACATTTAAAAATTAAAAATAAATATTTTTAAATACTTTTTAAAAATATATTTTCACAAACAACCTTTCAGCATTGCTTTAAAGCCTGTTTCAAATCACTAAGGCTCTGTAAATGAAGTCGCTGTGTTGAGTGATGTACAGTAAATGCTTGTGTGTGTGTGTGTGTGTGTGTGTGTGTGTGTGTGTGTGTGTGTGCAAGAGAGGTGAGAAAGGTCTGTGAAGGATAGCTCTGAGCATGGCTAACTCATTTCCACTCCTGCGTTGACCCCATGGCCTCCAGGGCTCATTAACCCTCTCTTCCCATCATGACATGCAGCAGAGGCCAAAGGCAGAGTGGCTGGAGGGGGGTGTGGGATGTTGAATGGGGGGAATCTGTGTGGTAAAAGCAGCAGAGGTGGCCATCTCACCCCTTGTTTTAACCTCTTCAACCATCATTTATTCTTTTATTACCTCCATTGGTTATGTGCATGGCTACAAATCTCCGGCACGCTCCTAAAGCTGTCAGGGCAGACCGGGCCTGTGGCAGCCAGCACGGTCACCTTGACACAGAGAGCTAGGGCCAGAAGAGACAACACACACTCTGTCACACACTAAGATGCAGATGCACAGGCATATACTCACATACACACACAGGAAGCACATTAATATTCTAACACAGAGAATAGGGGAAATGAACCCCCTCATTCTCTTTTGCCTTTAGGATGTCTTGTTCTGTTAATCATAAAGTGGTTGTATGATTAGCTGCTGTCATTTCTACAAGTGGATGAAGTCTACCTCCCTGGCAGGCTCCCTTATTCCCAGGTGCCACTATGCTAGTGTGTCTGAGAGGTTCTGTGATGCTCGTGGGCACAGCATGAAGAGGTTTGGTGTGAGGAGGCAAGGAAGGCAGCAACACCCTGATGGAGGTGTGAGAGAGGAGGACAGCCCTCTGGTCCATTAGCTCAATGAGTCTGACACAAGGTAAAGCGCAGATTTCAAATTCAGAGGTATGTGAACTATTTAATGATGTCTCAGAAAACTTGTAATGTTAAAAATAGCATTTATATATATATATTGTATATTTAACATTAACATGAAAAAAAGAAACATGACCAGACTCCTATAATGCTTAATGCAAATCACAAATTTACAAACTGTGATTTGAAGCAAAAAGCATTAGTCAAATCAGATAAAAGTCAGACAAAAAGGTATAAGACTGTGCATTTAAAGGCTTTACTGAGGAAAAACTTTTTTGACCTCTAGAAGCATTTTGAAGGACATATATTTTTTGCAGTATTTTGAGAGTGCAGGGAAACTCATTACACATTATTTTGCAGTGTATCGTGGGAGTTGGTGGGCACCTAAGAGTCCTTTTGGCATCATTTACTTGTTTCTACTCTCTGATTGGTGGATGTTTCTGTGCAAAATTATGGCTAATGTCGTTTTTCACCAAGATTTCCTCTGTGAAACATGATTATTAAAAAATTATATATTGTTACATTTAAATAATTGAGGCTGATTGCTTCAACAAATGCATATACCATAGATTAACAACCTTACAGACCACAGTAGGTCAGTTTTTAATGATTGCCCATTGGAGAAAATGTGATTTTTACTAGATAGATAGACAGACAGACAGACAGACAGACAGGTAGATAGACTGATAGATAGATAGACAGATAGAGCCTGCAGGGTTGAGATTTAAGTGGACTAAATATTTGTAGTGCTGCATACGTCACCAGAGAGAAGTCTGTTGTTTCCACTTAAGATCCAGTTATGATATTTTGATTAAAAAAATGAAAAAATGCATGGATATATTGTTCACAATAATATCTAACACATGCATGTGTAAAATTTATGAATTTCCAATGAATTTCCATTTCATGCTGACTATAAGAAGCACAGTATGTGACTATTTACAATTAATTAAATTAATTAATCTGCATGTAAAATTAAAATTCGACTGAAAGTTTGATATGTGCCAACAGAGTCTCTCCTTCTTCCTTGTCTTTGTTTCTCTCTGTTTCTCTGTAATTGTCCTCACTACTTACAGTAGTGGAGCAGGACAGGGCTTGCTGTTGGGTCCCGCTGCGTACAGTGGGGTGTTAGCAGGCTGGATGGCACAAGCGTGCTGATCAAGTGCCAGCAGGTCAGAGGTAGACGCTGGCACCGTCTTGGCACATGCCCCATGCCCTGTCTAACCGTATCAGCCACGCCACCGCTCAAATGCCCAGCATCAGCCCTGCTGGCACAGAGGGAGAAAGTCACACAATGCCAAGGGCACTCTGAGAGAGAGGAGCCACAGCCCAACATGACACAAACACAAAAACAATCACACTGCTAGAGAAAGAAACTCTCAGACATACTGTACTCCTAAAACATAGTAATGTTTATCTGTACAGATACTACACAACTGTTTTTCAACCACTTCCAAAAAGTGTTACAAAGGACACAGACCTTATAGGTCATAGAGTCAAAGTACCTATCTATCTATCATCTTTAAATAATATTTTTTCTTGTTTTAATCAATCTTTATATCTATCAATCTATCAATCTATCTATCTATCTATCATCTTTAAATAATATTTTTTTCTTATTTTAATCCTAAACCTAAAAATTTGTTTTATGCTTAAATGTTTAAATCTTTGTTTTTATTAATTTTGATGTTATTAATATAATTTAATAATATTTCCACTAGAAAACAAGACAGAAATATTAAGATTTTTTTTTTGTAGCCTGATTTGTACTTCTGTCCCTTAACTGGCAGTCTTATTTCCACATTCTCAAAAAATAAAATAAAAAGTCTGTCGACAAATGTTTTTAGCAAATAATAAAAAATGGAGTAGGTTCGCTCTTCTGCTCTTCTTTGGTCCACTGCTCTGTAAAGTAAACTTTGGGGAGAGAAAGTCTGAACAATACGCAATAAGCCTGTGACCCCAGAGCAGCCACCAGGTTATCTGGGTTATGTCGTATTTGTGCGTGCGTCTGCATACTGAACCCTGCGGCCCAGTGACAAAGGCTGTGCACAGTCCACACACAGTTTTCCTTTCCACAGATCTGTCCTCATTCTGAACCCACGCTGAGCTGGTTGAAGAGCCACCCGAATAAAAAAGCTCCGGCACAAGATCAAGTCTCCGGCCAGCTTGGGCTTTGGCACACACACAATGGGGAGAAGATGGCACGTCCCAACCCACCGCAGCAGCCTCCCCATTCAGCATGGCCACGACACGCACTTCTATTAGAGCCTGCAAATTGAAATTTACATGTTATTGCATCCTGGCATGCAGCGATTTGCGATGTGTCATCTAATTTAAAATCGAGCCGCGTTAATTCACCATGGGGGAAAGAGAAGATGGGAGGTGGCGGCGGGGTGTAGTGAAGACTGTACGGGGAGGGGGGGTTGAGACTGAAGAGAAAGGAAAAAAATCTGTGCCTCAGCAAAAGTTTTCATTAAAATTTTAGACAAATGATCTCTGTGTCCTTCTCCCAAGCTGCCTGGGGCGTCATGCTATTTCTATGCAAATAACAACCTCACGCCTTCCTCCTATCATTTCTACTGGTGCTGCTGTAACATGACCTGAGAGAGAGAGAGAGAGAAAGACTGTGTGCAAAGGAAAGGAAAGCAAGCAAGACGGAGGGAGAGATATGTTGCAAGCGAGAGCGAGCGAGACAGGGAGTGAGATAGAACAGGAGAAAAGGAGTGACAGAGAGCAAGCGTAGCAGGGCACATGAGAGAATTGAAGTGGGGGAGAGAGAGAGAGAGAGAGAGAGAAAGCAAGCATGGGGAGGATTCACTGAGGTGTGAAAATATATAACACTAAGAGTGTGAGAGAGAGACAAGAACAACACAAAGACACTAGGATAATTTGTTTCTCTCTGACTCCCCTTTAATATATTACAGCCCTCCTCCAGCAGGCTGGTTCAGAGACTACTGCTGTTTAACCACTCACACTTTCAACCCCATCAGCCTCCATCTCCCCCACTGCAGTAATTACACAAACACACACACACACATATATATATATATATACACGCACAAATCAAACTAATTTGTTTTCTCCTTGTTGTTGTTAAAGGCAACTAAAGACTGAGTATTGCGCATTCTACTCAGCCAGACGGAAACTCTTGATATCGAACAGCGGACGTTTTTACAGAAAGCCAGACTAGATCTTCAATGACATGTTTCAGAGGGAAATTTTAAATTTCACGATTATTTTTGAGATTCAAAACTAAAGATTCTGTATTGTCTTGTGTAAACAGAAGGGTAATTGCAAAACTACATTTCTACAAATCAGAAACAAGTTAGCGTGATGACATTTAAACAGCATATGCTCTGAGAGCATATTTCTCTCATCTGAGAAAAAACAAAAAACAATTGTATCATGTTCAACAAAACAATGATTTTGAGCAATAAAAGAGTGTGTTCAGTATTTTTCCTCTACATTTACTTTCAATGCCTTATTTTATAGCTAGAAGTTGATAACATTTGTCACTGGCACTTAGCATACAAATTGTATCATGGCTGTGAGGTCAGAACAATTTTAACACTAGTTAAAGGGATAGTTCACCCAAAAATGAAAATTTGATGTTTATCTGCTTACCCCCAGGGCATCCAAGATGTAGGTGACTTTGTTTCTTCAGTAGAACACATATGATGATTTTTAACTTTAACCGTTGGAGTCCATCAGTCTTATAATGCATGGCAATGGTAACAAAATCTATGAGAGTAAAAAAAACATGCACAGACAAATCCAAATTAAACCCTGCGGCTCGTGACGACACGATGTCCTAAGACACGAAACGATCGGTTTGTGCCTGAAACCGAACAGTATTTATATAATTTTTTACCTCTAATACACCACTATGTCCAACTGTCTTTGGGCACACGCACGGCATCCGGTGTGTGAGGTGTGTATGCGCTCTGGCATAGTTTACACAAATTATTTTTGATCTATCGCGCGTATTCGTCACTCATTGTTTACACAGTGCACAAACATTGTAGGTATGACGGCTAATCAAAATAGTACTTACTTGAGCTTATCCGGATTGTTCAAATCGACTTAAAACTAAAAGATTACGTTCTCTCGCGCAAACTCATTCGGGAGTCTCTTCGGCTGTATATCAACACACCCAGGATGCCGTGTGCGCACCCAAAGACAGTTGGACATAGTGGTGTATAAGAGGTAAAAAATTATATAAATACTGTTCGGTTTCTGGCACAAACCGATCATCGAGGACATCAATGTGTCATCACGAGCCGCAGGGTTTAATTTGGATTTGCCATGCATTATACGACTGATAGACTGCAACGGTTGGAGTTAAAAATCATCATATGTGTTCTACTGAAGAAACAAAGTCACCTACATCTTGGATGCCCTGGGGGTCAGCAGATAAACATCAAATTTTCATTTTTGGGTGAACTATCCCTTTAATTAAATAAAAATAGAAAAATATGGAAGGAGTATTATGCACAAGCTGGTTATTGAAATGATTAAATCAGTCATGTTAAACAATTATAATGTAATTCCCACTTATACTTTTGCTTTAAACATATATTATTCCAAATAGTTAAAAGGACTGGTATCATATATAGGGAGAAATAAAGTAATATTCACAATATTTAATATTCACAAGTATTAAAGCAATGTTATAACTTTAATATGTTTTTATACAGACTTATTATTTACTCGCCCTCATGTCTTTTCTTTATTTATGGAAAATAAAAGACGAAAATATTAAAAGGTGAAAATAAATGTGGCAAAGTAGGTGATAAATAAACAAATAATAATAAATAAACAAACAAACAAACGAATGAATTAATTAAAAATGATTTTGTCCTTTTTGTGAAGTTGCACCAGAATACCTATACAAAAATTATTTTTGTCCAGACAGTGAAAGTTCATGGGGTCCAAAGTTGTTATACAGACGAAAGTCACACAGTGATGGAAGAACATAAGGGTGAGTAAATAATTTTTGGATGAACTATCCTTTAAATAAATGCTAAGTTTACAGTAAATAAACGTTTGGACGAGATTACAATAAAAATAAGACATGTTTTAGTTCCTTTATAAAGCTTCGCTTGGTATTCTTCTGGAGCCATTTACAAATTTACAAATTTTCCCGCACAAGAATAGCATAACATTCAAAGAAACAAATATATGTGATTGGTTTTCTGTCATGGTGAGGTTTTTATACTCAGCTTAGCTATATACATATAAGAAAATCAAGAACATTTTATTATAGATTTTGTTCCACATTTTCATTATTTTATATGTTTATTAAACAATTTTTCTAGCAATCCCCACAATGTAGGTGATTTACGGTTGCAGTACCCTTGAGGGGACATGATCCCTCCACACGCACTCTACATTGCTAAAAGCAAACTGTAAACTAGTTAGTCAAAACAGTGGCCTGATTAGATAATTGCAGCTGGCTCCATATGGAAGCAAAAGAGCACAGATAGCATAAACAACTTGCAGAGACAGGGTCAAGTCCGAACACTACAGCGTCGAGGACAGCTCATGACACGACTTTAGTTATGATCAATCTGTGTGCAAGGCGTAAACAGAAGACCTGCAAATACCCCCCGTAGTCAGTACCCTGTCACCCTGTCACCCTGTCACCTGTCTCGCACACACACTTTCACATCCAGCCCCTCCTTTAAGATTCATTGGGGCCAAGGCAACGGCACTCAATCCATCTGCTCCACATTGTCATTTGCATTTCATGCCTCCTGGCTTTTTTTGAAGTGGCAATACTTTGATGCAGTCAGAGGGACATATTATCATTATTTCAATTTCTGTGGCGACAAAACGCAGCATTGTGGAAAGCAGCAGAGGGTCTGTGTGACACGGTTGCTGGTGTCTACAGATGAATTGAATGGCGATGGAATCTACACACACGCTACTCGCTCCGTCTACAAATCTGTGCGCCACAATTCTGTACAAAACAACAACAAAAATTCTGTGTCGCTTGTATATGTCTGCAGGCAAATATGAGCAGATACGCAGAACTTCAAGAACAAAAGAGAAAGCTGGCTGGTAAATAATAATGGATATTAATCAGGTATTTGTTTAGAAATATAATCCACCCAACTAACTCTTACGGTAATTTGTAATTATATTATGTTTTGGAATTTTAATTTTTTTTGGCTAATTCATATGAATTTGTACAATCTTATTTGCATGTTTTCGTACAGTCTTCTTATGCACTGACGGAGGGTTAATGGTTATTTTTTTTCCAAATGAAACCTACTTGCATTATATGAATTAACACCTCGTGAAATAGTTTTTTCATGAGTTTGGTTTAATCCACCACTAATATGTTTGAGATCTTCCTTCCTCAGTGCCTGATCAAACACGTACCGCATTGTCATCACTACTGAAAAAAATTAATTCAAATAAATTAAACCAGCCCAAATGGATTTGCTGATCTTAGCTGGTCTCCCAGTCTGGTCAGGTATTTCTGCTGGCTAGTTTTACAGAGGGTTATGGGCACTTTTCAGCTGGCTGCCTAGCTAGACCAGCATGGACTGGGAGACTATTTTAAACCAGCTAAGACCAGAAAACCAGTTTACACTCGTAAAAATAAAGGTTAAAGGAGATTTTATATTAGGTGAGGTTTCCACATCAATACCTTAAAGATCCATTTTAGGTTTCTCAAAGATCTTTAAGTGAACAGTGTTTAAAATAATATTTTTTCTTGGTGTAAGAACATTCACATTTGTCTTAAGAACGTTTTCTACTATAAAGAACCTTTTGTGAAATGGAAAGTTTCCATGGATATTAAAGATTCTTCATAGAACCATTGATGCTATTATTTTTAAGAGTCTATAAAGAGAACTCTAACGCTATGCTAACCTAGTAGGCTAAGCTGGCAACTTGGCAAAGGCTAACTGAAAAGACAAAGTAAGGGAAATATCTGGTTTAATTTAATGTAATTTGATCAGGGTTTGAAATTAACACCCGCTAATCCTCCAAATGTGGATGAATAGCAACCATGGAAGACACATTAGCCAGTAAAATTATCATGATTTTAACAGTAAAAACAGTAAAAACACTACAGTTAAAACTTGTTAATTAGTTAAGTCAGTTTTCGTATTATATACAGTGAATAACAGTAATTACATTTCAAATGAAAGTGAAAAAGAACAAGTAATTGTGTAATTTACACTGAAAAAAAAGTAAATTGACATTCCCAGAATTCTCTGCATGACGTTTCACATTATCTTACATCTAATGTCGTTAAATTAATATTCATTGCATTATTTCAGTATCATGTGTGTTTCCATGATGGAGTTTAATATTTGTGTGAATGACACTGTGCACCTTCTATATATACTGCAAGTATTTCCCTCCTCAGCGTGTGGAAAAGCTGTTTCTCATTACCACCTGTTTTTGGTGGTTGTCAG